AAGAAACTAAACTAAAACGAAATAAATAATATATAGTACTTACGTACTACTAATAACTAATAACTACTACTTCTACTTACTACTACTACTACTCTCTCTCTCTCTCTCTCTCTCTCTCTCTCTCTCTCTCTCTCTCTCTCTCTCTCTCCACCCCCCTATATTACACAATCAAGAACGAACTTTTTATTCCTCCATTTTCTCTCTCTACCCTCACTCTTTTGTTGTCTTGTATGGCGTTTCCTCTCTCTACCCATCTCATATTTCATCTTGTTCTTTCTCATTTTTGTCACTTCTTCTCTCCCTATCCTCAGCACCTCTATTCTTATTATCTATTCTTATTAAAGGTTGTAACCCTCAAGGTGACTCTCGTATGCTAAGCACCCAGACTGTGGGATGCCACAAACATAGTTACCAGGAGCTGGAGTGGGAACGGCTTCGTGGTTGGAAAAGGAGAGTCGGATCAAAGGCTGACCGAAGCTCCAACTCTCCGGGAGCGCATTCTGGCGAGGGAACCAAGAATAGAACCAGATATCGAAAAAAAGACGATCTTGTTCCCAATGTATTAAGATCAAAATCCCATGTATAATGGGATCAGGAATCGATCGCGCTCCCATTTGGGTTGGACCGTGCTCCCCGCATTAGACCTAAACACCATGGAATCCAAACCAAAATTTATGATTTCTCCAAACATAGATAAACGAGTTTAAATTATCCCAGATTCATACAAAAAGTTGGTCTCATGAATTTAATAAAAAATTGAGCTATTCAATCCACCAATATTATTACTAAATAATCATAATATTGCATCATGATCAAAAAATTAAAGAAACACTTCCATATTATAAGATTATGTTTAAAAAAAAACCTTATAAATTTCAAGTTTATAACATTAGAAAAGATCTTTAGAGAAATGAGTTTTCCCTGAAAATTCGAAAATATATGCATAAAATTCATTTTAGTAATAAAAAATGAAAAACATATCAATTCATGCATCACAGGCATGGATAACCTATATGCATAAAAACCCCTAATTTTTTTCAATAAAATCTGTAGAACGGCGGATCTGTTCAAACTATGAATAAAAGCCCCCAAATACGATGGAACCCTAACATTCCAATAAAACAAAAATTCATAGAAAAAAATAAGACATGATAAATAAATATACTTGCTTCATTTTAGAATTGAAGGTATGAAGATCAAAAAGCATGCCTTAATTTAATCGAAATTGAACTGAAAATGATCAGGTTCTTACAATTTCGATTAACATCACGCTTTCCAGCTACAATCTTTCGAGCAAAGAACGAGCAATAATCTTCATTTAATCAAAGAAATAGACACAACAATCTTGTGAAGAACTTGACTTCCTTCAAAATGAACCCAACTTCAGGAAAAATAGTTATGAATCAAAGATGAAATCCACAAAATGGTGGATTTGCTTAAACTGTGAAAATAGGCCCCAAATTCGATGGAACCCTAACGGTCCCATACAACAAAAATTCATAGAACAAAAATAAGAAATGATAAATGGTGATATTTTTTTATTTGACAGTTGAAACTATGGAGATCAAAAAGTACACCTTAATTTGATCGAAATTGAAAGAAAAATGACCAGGTTCTTAAATTTTGATCGGCATCACGCTTTTCAGCTACAATCTATCGGGCAAATATTGAGCAATAATCTTTGTTTAATTGAAGAAACAAATAGAACAATCATGTGAAAGACTTGCTTTCCTTCAAAATGAACCAAATTTCAGGTAAAATAGTGGTAAATCGAAGATAAAATCCTCAAAAATGGTGGATCTGTTAAAACCAATGTTTGAAAACTCGCCGAGTCGAACCGGACTCGCTCGGTTCGACACGAAAATCGACACCCCCGTGCCGATTCCACCATATTACGCAAAATAGCTCGTGTCTAGAGAGAACCGGGCGATTCGTAGCGATAACTCAGCGGCGAGTCGCTACAGTGACACGGGCAATTTCAACGGTCAGAGGTAAAGTCCAATTTTTTTTTACAATTGAGGGGCATTTTTGATGCCACACATCAAGCACATGCAGTTCATGGGTCTCAATCCTACTAAGTAACTAACACATTTATTGATGGCCCGGCAGAAGCATTTATACCATGCAGATTTATATTAAAGCTTTGATGCGGGATAATTCGCACACATTGTGCGCGCAAAATCATTATAATGTTTAGATGGTAATTCAAAGTACACTATTATTACGTGGTGCAGTTGGTTATGACTCACAATTTCTTCTTGGACGTCTCAACTTCGAGCCCCTTGGGCACCATCCAACTTATTTTTGTTGTCTAAAAGGAAGAAAATAAAGTAAAAGGATAAAAATAAAAAATAAAAGGTTTTTCAAAAAAAAAAAGTCTAAAAAAAAGAAAATAAAGTAAAAGGAAAAAAATAAAAAATAAAAGGTTTTTCAAATAAAAAAAGGGTACTACAATATTTTTTTTTTCTTGTCAAAACAACAAAAGGCAATATAACAAGTATTAAAAGGTAATATAACAAGTATTTCTTGTCAAAAAATAAAATAAAAAATATAAAAAACTAAAAGGTACCTCGGTAACATCATTTTCTTATTTTTGTCGTCAAAAAAAACTTAAAAGTAACACAACAAGCAAAAAAAAATGTAGCACAACATCTTATTATTTTTTTGAATTTGTTATTATTTGTATAATAAAATAATTATAAAATATAAAAAAACAATTTCAATTTCAATATATAATTATAGTTAGTTAGGTTGTAATAATTTTGAATTATAGTTAGTTAGGTTGTAATAAGTTGTGTTTTTTTTAGCGGATTAGGGCTTTCGACCAATTTGAGATTTTAGTGGCCATTTTTTCATCGATTTAATTCACTCTTTATTGTAGTCCATGTATGATTATATACTTTATCCATGATAATTCTATGATTTTTCTTTTGTATGATGTAAATTTAGTGGTTAACAGAAGTTCATATAGGGAAATAACATCTCAATATTCGCATATTGATCAAAAAAATGAAAGTTAATAATGTCGTACCCCCATTTTTACTGGATTCCTACAAAACAACATTTATAATGAAATTTAATAAATTTTTTTGATTTTTTTTAAAGCTTAATCCAACTGATACGGCCGATTCTCGATCTGGATCGCCAATTCACCTATCTGATTGGGTTTTTGGAGTGCCAATCCGGGGCACCGATCTGTTTTTTAAACCACTGGTTAAAACAATGAAAAGAAAGGCCCCAAATTCGACAAAAAAATTTTGATAAATTTTTCATTTGTGAATTGTGCTCCCAGAATTCAAGATTTGAGGACCTTATGACTTAAGGAACGGGATCCACAAATCAAATGAACAAACACCGTGACAAGTGGGGATCAAGATCCCTGTGCTCATCGGATCGAGAGTTCAAGTCAAGGGAAGAGATCCCACAAAACAAAAAAAGCGTTCCAGGCGAGATCCCGGCTCCGGATCATGGGATCTGGATTCTGGAGCCAAGTGACCACCTATTGAGGCGTTCCCAGTAACTATGGCCACAACAAATTTTTTTATCTCTTAACATTTGTGCATATATATATATATATATATGGATAATCTAAACTTCACAACCCCTCAAATTACAAAGGTTAAAGATAGAGAGAGTTGTGAAGGGTGGATTTACTAATTTTATAGTCTATTTTTTAAAAAAAGTTACTTTTAGTCATATCTTCATCATTAAGTAAGGGCAATTTGTAAATATTACTACAAAACAAAGGGTACTTTTGTCATCTTCATAAAGGGTAAAGTTGAAATTTTTCCTAAAAGACAAAGACACTCTACAAATAAAATTCCAGGATATTGACTTCCAAAATGCCATTGTACTTTTGTAACAAATTTCAAATTTGCCCTTGCTCAATGGTTAAGTTACCTATTAAAAACAAAAAGTAATCATCTTTTCGATAAATACATCCATCACAACCCCTTCTAACTTTTAACCTTTGTATTTTGAGGGGTTGTTAACTCTAGACAAACCCATATATATATATATATATTGGGGAGGTGGGTGGTGGTGGGGGGGTGACCACATGGGCAACTCGGTTTAGGTGCTAGGTGCCACCTGGACACCCGCCCTAGGCTATGGCACCCCATGGGGGCCACCCAGGGATGCTCTGGCCCCTTAAGCAGGGGAGACAGCCACCTAGGAGCTAAGAGGGTGTTATAATGTTTTATGTATTTTATATATGTTTTATACATTATGTATTATATGTTGCATGTTGTAAGTTGTATGTTACACGTTCTATATTATATATGTAGTAGTGCACCTGATACATATTTATATGTATTCATCATCATCATTATCATCAAACTCTTATCCCAACTATTTAGGGTCAATTGCACGATCTTGTTCAGCCATTCCGCTCTATCAAGGGTCATATCCTCAATCAGACTATAAGCCACCATATCTTTTCAAAACTACTTAAATCCATGTCCTTTAGGGCCTTCCCCTTGCACTTTTAGAGCTTCCACTTGAACCAAATCAGCCCTCCTAAAATTATATGCATTATTAAGCTATAAAATTGTAAGTATTGACATATCAATTAGGATAATCGTGTCCATTTCCCTATCTTATTTCAAAGAAATACCGAGTCATATCCTCACTCTCCATATCCATGTCTATATATATACATGTATTTGGGCATCTTGGCTCTACAAAGCTTATAAAATCGACCCTAAGGGAATTTCTCTCTTATATGATTCATGTGCTTGACATGGGATAACCACACATGTTCATGTAAGATTGAATTTGATTCATGTGATACATGAATTTAATCTTTATATAAGAAGTTACAAGAAACAATACAGGAAGTTATAAGAAACAAAATAAAACACATACCAACATATAATTTGATATTCGAAGATGTTCATTAATAAAGGAATGAACAACAGCTTGAGAACGCAAACAAACTCATGAAGGCAAACTAGCTAGAGGATTGCAACGGAAACAAGATCAATACATACAAAACAAACCAGATAACTTACATTCAAGAAGACGGTGACATCAATGTTTATTATATCTCCACTCTGCACATCACCATTAACACAAAGTCAAATCCATCATAGTTCACACTCTAAAAGCACACCAAAAGCAATATAATCGGCATTAGCTACTATGAGTATATGGCGTCATACAAAACCTGTAACTGTCGAGAATCGGGAATTCCATGGCACATGCATTCATTAACCGATGTGCACACACTCTTTGGAAATCCACCATAGCCAAGAGGCGAAGGATACGCGCCGGCATCAATAATCATTTTGTGCACTGCTTTGTCAATCTCATTTGTTGTTATGGATGGCTGATACATAAGTAGTCAGATATCTGGCCAAATAATAATGGATAAATAACTAGGGTAACAAGTTAACAACCATTTTCAATAATGAAATGAGGACTAAAATGAAATTGGCTTTCAATACGAGGAAAAACAAAAACCATATTCCAATGACATAAATGACCTAAACCAGGTTATAAACTTAGATGTGCTTCAAAAGAAACAAACTCCTATTGAGACGCATTGGGTTTCTCCAAGATCAATAGAAGAGGTGGTTGCAAGTGGGAAATATTACCCATTCGCACAAAAAGATGGTACCTTGTGGAATCTCAGCCTTGTTGCAATTCTGTGGGCTTATGGTTAGAGCGGAACGAAAGGATATTTGAGGGGAGGTTTTCAAGACCCAGGTGTTATAGGAAATCAAGATATATGATCATTTCATGGGCCCTTTCTAGAGAGATGTATTCAGAGGTTTTCATATGATAGGCTTGATGAGAAAATGGTCAGGACAACCTCATTCATGCTTTATAGGTGGCACCTCCAATTGTAATGCCTTTGCTCAACTTTGATGGGAGGTTTTAGGAATCCTAGTCCTTTTGGGGGTAGGGGTGTCACTAGATGTCATTTGGGGTTTACTTGTATTTTCATACAGGCCCATCAGGGATTGGAGATGCCAATAGAGCAGAAGTTTGGACTTCGTCACAAAGTTATGCATTTTCCCTAATTATTCACAGGCCTCCTCCTAGTCGAAGGCGATTCCCTAAATGCCTTTCATGGGGCTCGAAGGATCGTGACCATCCTTGGAGGCTCGTGGACACTCTAGAGGAGATTTATTATGTCTGTCGACAGAATCTGGTCACTTTCCAGTATGCGCCACGAATGGCTAATGAAATAGGGGATTCACGACGTGCTGGAAATAGTACGGCCCTTGTGTCCAATTAGACCCCCCCCACCAGTTCGATGTTTTTGTTTCCTGTCTCTTCTACACCCAGAATTTATGTCTCGTAGCCTGCTTCATTGTCAGATGCCCTGGAATTAAATATCTAGGAGCTTGCAAATAAGCTTAAATCGCAAGCAGAGGAGACATATCACTTGCTTCCTGATGAGGGGTACGCCACCGAAATTCTATTCGCCACTGTTTTTGGGGCCATCAACTGGCAAACTCCACTTTCAAAGAAAATTTAATTTACAAATTTTTCAAAAGCCTAGAAAACAAGTTTGATTTGGTTGGTCCAATACTAAAAGAAACTATTTGTAAAGGATTTTTGCTTTTACCCTTTTACAAAGGTCATGTGAGTACAGTTTTGGTATCTAGAAGGTTCACTTAGCCCTGTTGACTCTTCCAAAAGTCATCTCAGATAACAAATGACTGCAGATATGGAAATGAGACTTTTACCCTTGGTATTTCACATAATTACAAATAAGCCCAAAAGTTCAATATAAGAAAAATAATATAAAGACATTGAACCAAATACAAGTCTACTCCAAAGCATATCTCAAACGGAAGTAAATTATTACTGCTTAAAAAACATTATAGAAGACGTGATCAAAGCAAATGATATTGAGAAGGCAAAGAATGCCATGATCTAATAAATTATATAAATTCAGTCCATTGGGTCTTACCCATCCAATAAAATGATCGCTTTTAATAGAAAAGGAGGAAGACACACCATAACAAAACCCCAACGGTCAGTCCAACTCCACCTCCATCACGACTCTTACTTCAATGGATGACAATGACCCAATGGATGACAATTTTTCAATAGTATATGCACTACAGCACACTTTTCCCTTTAAAAATGTGATATTTGATTCTTTCCTACCCTAACCAAAGTTCCTGCATATTCCAAGACCCGTGCAGCAAGCTCACAAGCAGCTTTCATGCGAGCAATGCCCTCAGCATCATGTATTTGTGGCTCCTTTGAAAGATCTGGTAATGAACTTGAGTTTACATAGGGTGGCTTGGGGATGTTTTCTGGCACAGGAAGACGGGCAGAAACCTTTCCACGCCTTAGAGGTGGCCTTCTCCTCACTTTCCCAGAACTTTGCAGTTCACGTTCCCTGTAAGTGATTTGAAAAATGTTACAAAGGAGCTAGAAAATGAAAAGGTTATGCCATCATTGGAAATGGATATAGCATTTGCTTAACTATTATTATTGCTAAATAAAAAATAAAACTTGTCTAAAAAATAAATAATAGGACAAAAAAATTTATATATGATGATTGAAAACTAAATTACACAGAACAACTATCTCCTTTACATCTTTGCTCTGGAATCAAAAGTTATCACAGCAGGATATTACCAAAAACCTTGCCTTGTCAAGTCTAACTTTTGATATATAGGAGACCATATGCCATACCAATGTTGTTAAATTCACTTTAGGGTCTACTTAAATTTGGCCAGGGAAGTGAAGCACTCCAGCACATCAACAAATTCTGGGAAGACTCAACGTGTCCTTTTTCTAATTTAAATTTTTTCAAACATATTTATAAATAAAAAGGTAAAATAAAAAAATTGGTAAAAAATATGGAATTACGAAAGTGTGAATCCTTAGTATTTAAAAAACTCACTAAAGCTCCACCCACTTTTCCCTTTTGGTGTGAATTACTAATTTGAGAGTGAAATCAATATCTTCAAGATAAATTATAAATGGGTAAAACTAGAGCAATTACGTAAAGATCAACACCATGTAAAAATTGATTTTGTAAGGATTAAGATGAATCTATTTATAACAAAAGAAGAACAAGTTAAACTCCTAAAGTAAAGTAAAAATCTCGGACTGCCCAAATCTCTCATGAAAACTCAAAGAGTATTCTAAAATTTTAGACACTAAATTCCTAAAATATTTGGTACCTTGAATAACAATAAATGAATACTGCTATGGAAAGAAAAAACCACCAAAAAAATTGCTAGATATTGGATTTGCTTCAGATTTAAATGGCTTCATTTCAGCTCATGAAGTTGAAGAATTTGGCCGAAGAGCAGCAAAACAAACAACATTGTGCCATATCATACATACACAGCGCATCCATCATCCGATCTCAATGGTGGACGAAAGAGAAACCGTTGTTCCAGTTATAGACATTCAGCAAAGAAGAGAGGTTAATCATCTATGATTTGTGATGAGAAAGTAATGCATATGTCATGCTCTCCCTTCATGTATCATAGCATCATAGAACATGAAAAAGAAGCAAGTTTTCTAGGTAGATAGGAACTCCAAGTACTTCGTTGTCATCCAATGGCTTATCAAAAATAATATCACCATCAAAGATAGAATCACCTAGTTCAACATCATCATCAGAGCCTTATCCCAACTATTTGGGATCGGCTACACAAATCATGTTCCGCCATTCTGCTATATCAAGAGCTATGGCCTGAGTAAGACCATCAGTTCCCACATATTGTCTCACTAATTCCATCCATATCCTTTTGGCCTTCCCGTGCCCTTCTTGAGCCTTCTACTTGGACCAAATCGTACTTCATAATCGACGCTATATTGGATTTATACTGCACATGTCCATCCCACCTAAGTCCACTTTCCCTCATCTTGTCGCCTGTTGGAGCCACCCCTAAGTTCCCTCGAATGTACTCATTTCAAATTCCATCGTTTCTTGTCTTGCCACTCATCCATCTCAACATTCTCATATCAGCTACAATCATTCTATGGGTATATTGTTTCATAACTGCCTATGATTCCATCCCATTAGGGAAAACTGGTCTCACAGTTGTTCTATAGAATTTCCCCTTCAGCTTCATGGTGTACAGCAATCACATAAAACTCCGGTTGCACATCTCCACTCAGCTCTAATTCTATGTATGATATCTTCCTCAAGCTCTTCATTTTCCTAGATTATTGACCTAAGATATCAAAAATACTCTCTTTTAGGTACTTCTTGGCCATCAATCTTAGCTAGGTCCTCGTTTCTATTATTATTATTAAACTTGCATTCCATATATTTTATCTTCGTACAGCTAATTTTAAAACCTTTATATTCTACAGCATCCCTCCAAAGTTCCAACTTTGCATTGGCACCGCTTCTAGTCTCATTGATTAAAAGTATGTCATCCGCAAACAACATACACTATGATACCTTATCTTGTAGATGCCTACTTAACTCGTCCATAACTAAAATAAAGACATATGGAAAAGATAGGATCACCTGATTCTTCATCAAAAATAGGATTACTATCAAAGATATCTCATGATTCAAAGAATATTGAATCCAATTGAAGATTGGATCCTTGTTGTTCTCCTTCAAGATAGTGCTCTCGCTGATGCCATCGCGCATTAAACCCATCTTCGTAACTTGACACGTTATTCATCCATTACCACTCAGATCGGACTTTGATTTGTGCAAATCTCCATAAAGACCTTCAAAATTTGGATCTATCCCACATAGGTTCCTCTTCATTTAAGGCACATTTTTGCTGGTCTCACTTGCGCAACAGCTGTGTAGCCCTCTCCGTTAAGTTGTTGATTTCAATCAGATCAGGTCGGCAACTTATGGCTAAGACCTCCACGGCCTACCATCTCAATCTCTAACTGTCTTTGGACCTAACTCTAATACCACTTGATGGGAAAGGAAAGGTGGGAAATTAAATCCAAGTTTTTTCCCGAACCTCAAATAAGTTATCAAAATAATGAAGAAAAAGCTTGTTTGTAAATCAACTCAAGAGAAGAACTTTCTTCTTTTATAAAATAAAACTCATTCTCATAACATAAGCATTCCATAATTTGAAGTCCCACCTTTTATAAACCTATAAATTAAATTTAGTTCAAAGTAAACAATTTAAGACTCTAAAATACCCCTAAACAATACTACAATTTAAAAAATACCCCCTGAACATTAAACCGTGAACACCCTAGACTAGTAATTGTGAACAGCTCTATAAAGAGCACTCATGAATAGTAAAATAATAGAAACTAAGTATAGGAGATTAACCCCAGAATATAATTTCTAAAAAATTAACCCAATCAAAAGAAATAAAACATACACCCACATCCATGAAATTAAAAAATTAAATTAAATTAAATTTTTCAATCACCCAGCTCTTGATCTCCATCAATCACAGAGGAAACAAACACTTTATAATCATCCCCTAAACCTCTGAAGACATGACGGACCTTGTCCCTTTCACTTAGAGGATCCTGCATCACAGCAAGCTGATCACAAAGGGCTCCTATCTTGTTATAGAATTCCAAGGCTGACATATCATTTCTTTTACAAGCCTGAAGCTCGCTTCAAAAATGCATAATTAGTGTTCTATTTCTTAGAAAAATAAGAGTCATGAAGGGCCTCCCATACTCCCGCAGCAGTTCGTAAATTAATTACTTGAGGAATAAGCTCCTCTAGTAGGGTGGAAAATATTCCAAGAAACTCAGCTGAAGGCTTTGATGAATCATCAATGTGCCCTAATAATCGTTGGCCTCTTAAATGAGCTAGAACTAAACCTCTCCAAGTAAAAATAATTTGAGGCATTCAGTTTAATAGGTATGTAATTATGTATTGACGATTAGGAAGACCAATAGAAGTAGAAGAAGATGACAAGGCCATTGTTAAGAATAAGAAAGAGCACAAGAGCAAGAGATTTCAAGAAAGAAGAAAAAGGGAAAGAAACAAACAGTTAAGTTTTGAAGAGCAAGAGGGAGAAAAGCAGTCAGGGTTTTGGACTAGATTTCAAGAACCGAAAAGGAGAAAGAAATTAGGATTTTTTTTTAAGAGAAAGAAATAGGTGATGAAGAGCAATATCACAGATTTCAAACAAGATCTAACGTTTTATATTGAATGAAGAGGGAATTATGGGTTAGGTGGCTGACATATGAGGATTAAAAGAAAGAACAATAGCATGAACGGTAGTGTGAAATACGAGCATGAACAGTAATGTGAATAGTAGATGCCCCTGACATGGAGGAAATATGAGTGAGAAAGATTAGGGTTTAGGAAAGAAGGATGAGAATGATGAAAACGGGTAAAAATGAAGAAAGAAGATTAGGGCCTAGAAGAAAAAAAGATAATAAATCTTTAAGAAGAAGGAAATATGGGCTACCTTGATTAGAGTTGATCACGCTGAGGGCACATACAAACCTCACTCTGATACCATGAAAAACATAGAGAAGAAGAAAGAAAAGAGGAACACACTTGAAAGCACATACCAGGCACAGCCCTAATTTTTGTTTTACAATATACGTAATATTTCATCATGAGTAAGGACAGATTAGCACTTATACATTACAGCAAATGACTTTCCAATACAAACCACTTAAAACACAGGCAAATTACAGAACTGCCCTTCATTGCATTCTAACGTCCATAAGCAAGTAGCACTGTCTTTGCTCAAGGAGATTGGAAAACTTGGAGCCAAACTAATTGACTCACCAATAGACCTTGGAAGCAAACTCAATCTTGCCTCCATCAAGAGTTGGAGGATAGTGGTCTTTATCAAAGATTGGTTGGTAAGCTAATCTATTTGACAATAACCCAACCAAACATTATACAAGCTACAAGTTTGGTGGTCCAATTCATGCATGAACCACGATCTACACACATGGATGCACTCATTAGTATCTTGGGATACAATAAGTCTTCTCCTGAAATGGGGATTTTGTTCTCACGAAATAAAATGCTGACTACACTGGTAGTTTGACCTTTCATGACCAACTACTGGACAATGCACCGTGGTTGAAGAAAATTTGTTAACTCGGGAAAAATAAAATAGGTTTTTCTCTCAAATTAGTCGCCTTGTTTTTATGGTGTGGAATTCACTTTTTGAATAGGATGTGGTTCTATCAATGTTGTTAAGTTCGCTTCGCTTCGGGCGAAGTACCCGAAGTCTTCGGGTTTTCTCACACCAACGAAGCGAACTGAAGAAGAGGCACATTTTTTGTTTGTTGTGTGGTGCTGTTAAAAGTAAAGTCTCCACAATATAATGCCATGTATAAAAAAAGGTTAACAAAAAATAGCACCTACCTACTTTTACACGTAGAGAGAAGTGCTGCACGGCCCTGCCACCTTACCTACTTTAATAGAGCTAAAACGTCAAAAGTAAAACACAAATTGATTTTTTCTTTTTAATTTAAAAGATCTATGCAAGTACTTTTCATTACCATGCTTCTAGGTCCTAAGGGCATTAAAAATTGAAATCCAAAATTGTTGATAATATTAAAAAAATATTTTACTACTTTATTTATTATTGAGTGTAGTAATAAATTTATATATTATTAATTTTAAATTATTTTTATTAATTATAAAATATAAAAAAAACCCGAAGTCTTCCCTCAAATCAATCGAAGCACCAAATTGCTTCATTTTTTAAATCAAACCGAAGTAGTCTCCAAAGCGAATATGACAACATTGGTTTCTATACGGTTGCAACCTTAAATAATTCAATTAAGGAGCACCTCCAAATTTTATCATAACATGTGATTTTGGTATAAAAAATTCTTAAGATCATCTCAAAATCTATTTTCATATCTAATTATAAAAGTTTACTCCAAAAATGGTTAAATCCAAGTAGATCTATAAACATATGAAAATCTTGAAAATGGACAGTCTAGATAATGTGTTGCAAGATGCACTATTTTTTGAGACTCACAATCTTTTCTTTTTTTCACATTCATACATCTCGATATCGAGATGATCAATTAGAGGGTTTTTCAACATTTAAACACCCTTTTCAATGGATTTTTGAGGTGCATCAGTAATTCTACATTTTAATGTTGCAACCCTATATAAGCTTTTTTCCTTTAGAATAAGAATATTAATGGAATTAGCATCATTGTAAAACAGGAATAGTATTGGATTAAAATATCATTTTTCTAGAAGTCAAATTTAAGGGGGCTTTGGAAAATCGTATGGGAGAACATGGGGTCATTCTTGTGGGTCTGTTATGGTCATGTGATGGGCAAAAAGAGGCCACATGGACCCCACTGGCCATGTGAGGCACATGGCTCACAATCCTTGTTCTAATTGAATGAGGGGTGTGTGGACAATTTGCCCATAGGTGGTGCGTGCCCCTTAGATTGCACTTCTAGGTGAATTTCAATCCCAAGATTTTCCAATGTGAAAAGAAGTGAAAATTCAAAGTTAGCATTGTCTCCTCAAAAGAATTCTTGAAAGATAGTGTTTGGAAAGTTACTTTCAAGGTAGTTACAGATCAGCATATTTCTGATTGTCTATGTATAAATAAAAGTACAAGAAAGAAGAAGTTCACACGAAATACCCTCACTGAAAAACAAATTGTAGTAATATGAAAAACAAAAACTGACAAAAGATACCTTACATAAAATCTTCTTAGTAAAGAACAGCCCCTTATCACTATGAATATGGAGACACCAAGTACCAATACTAAACATTGAACACTAGAAGAGCCCAAAAAACTTAAGAGCTTATACTGTAACTTTTTATTCTCAAAACTCATTAATTCTACAGATCAAGTTGAGTCAACCAACAAGTGTGCATTGATAACCTTACAGTTAGCATGTTTGTATGAGCTCACTATAATGTACCTTCTAATTCGCATTGCCTCCTCTAATCCTGATAGCTTCCTAGAAAACACTAGAAAACATCTATGTGAACACTGATTTCCTGCAAATGCAAATATCAGTCACAAACATTGCAGATGAGAACATATGTATTAAAAAGAAAAAATCATAACCTAGGATGAGGAGTGTGTAATAAAAAATAATAATAATAAATGAATAAGAAAATGCAGCATAAAATCCAAAGACTAAGTACAATCAGTGAATGTGGCACACAGTCTAAAAGATAAAATTGTTTTCCTACCCATATATTTTTGTGCTCCTAGCCATGCACTCAAGGTTGGATTTCACACATTAGCTCCAGGCACGCACACATAAAGAAATTAAATAAGAAGTTAAGAACCAGGCACCAAGTTTACAACCAGGTGTTGGGCATGAGCCGTCGTCGTCCTCCTTCCCCTCCTCCTCTTAGTTGGGACCAGATCTACAATCTCTACCCCAAAACCTACCCTCCGCTTCCTAGATTCCAGTCCTCTTCTCCCGACGGCCCCACTCTCCTCCTGGGGGACCTAAGCAGCCATGTGTAGTGACTAAGCAACCTCCCAAGGCCACTTTCTCCTAGGTGATGATCTCTGGAAAATCTACCTCTGCTCCCCTCGGCCCTCCTAATCTATCCAGGAGGAGTTCCATTTCTTTTTCTCCCTCCCCCTTCCTTCCTTGCATTATCTCAACCCCTCCTGATGTAGCTATCTAGCTCAAGCAAAAACTCGCCTCTTGCTTGGTGGCCAGTTTCCAACCCAGATACGACGATGTAAGAGGCATTGAACGATGAGCAAAACGCATATGGGGGGAACCTTATCTCACTTGCAGACGCATCTCTGGTGGTGATTTCCTCTTCTCCTTCCTGTCCCCTGAGTACGCGTTGCGTGCCCTCCACGAACCTTCTTTCCCCACCTTCAAAGGGCCTTCCGGGCTGCTTCGAGCGTGGTCCCCTTCTCAAGGGTCCTTCAGAATGCAGCGAGTCTGGCTTATCCTTGACCACGTCCCTCTCCATGTGTGGTCCCCCTCGACTTTCAAGTAAGTGGCGAAAGTTTGCGACGACCTGATTTCTATCCACTAGAAATCGGTTGAGTCTCTCCCTCTTGGCTCCATCCGCCTGCTTCTGGAGGTGCTGGAGACCAGTCTAAGCCCTTCAAGCCTATGGTTTGAAGTTGACAATCTCTTCTTTTAGGTTTCCCTTTCGTGGTCGGGAGCTTTGCCTCCCACCTCTCTCTTCTTCAATCAGGCGGTTCCTTCCCCGCCTACTGATTCTAATCCTTGGACAACTGTGTGGTGCAAAAACCGCCGCTCCAGAAGGCGCCTCCGGCAGGCCACCGCTCCTCTTCCGAACCATACGGTGCGACTCCAGGGCAAGGCACCCAAACCTCCAAACCCCGCCATCTGGCAGCCACGCCATCAGCCTCTAGAACGGCTAGGGTACAGAACTGAACTCACCAAACCAGCCCAGGAGGGTACAAGTGTTCCCCTCTTGATGAATACTAGGATGGAAGTCCAAGAGGTCCTCCTTCCCTCGCTAGGACCAAAGTCTGCGCATGCAAGGATCAATGTCCTGACGAGCGCTAGGACCGAAGTCGGCGCTTCTTTATTCGATCGAGCCTAAGCGCCCTTGTGTCGACCCGGTAAAGAACCCCTTCTCGAATATGTGCCTGGTCCGCATGCCGTGTTGCCGGGTAAACCCCTCGGACCCGACCCATCCTCTTTGATTGACCATGTGGATCCCAAACCTGCCTCATTTAAGGACTCGGCGTGCTTTATGTCAGTGCACTTGATTTCAATGACCCCAGCATTTACTCCTTCCGAACATTTCTTCTCTTCGGTTGCCATGTCCCCCGCTGCACGGTCCTGTCCAGACCACCTGTCGCCCTTGCCTTTATTGCCTCCGCCTTCTGGGCACTCCTCTAGTGCCGACCCATCACCTCCTTTGATCTGTCTTCTGTCGCAGATCTCACCTACCACCTTTCCACCGTCCTTCGAAATGCCTCCTTCTCTCTCCTCCCCCTACTGCTGTCACTTCACCTACTACCCTACCTCGAGATCCTGACCTACCTCTCTTTCCCCCTCCTTCTAATGTTGACCCTTCGCCTTCGGTGGAAGCCCCTTTTTTTCCCCCTCCTATGCCTTTGCTTTTCTGCCACCTACCCTCTGAGTCCCCCCTCTCTGTTGGCCTCGGCAACCCCCTCCTCTCCCACCCTTTTGAGTCTCCTCTCCGAGCCTCCCCATTCTTCTCCTCTTACACCATCAATGGACCATCCTCCTCTTCCCTACGACTTCATGGCTGTGCACTCCACATACCCTTCCCCCAAGATTCATACTACATCTCCTCCCTTCTTGCCCCGCACTTTTCCTCTTCACCCCATCTGGTCTGCATTTGCAGGATACACACCTTCCACTTCAACTACACCTTCCACTACCTGTCCCACCACTTTTTTACTTGCTCCCCCTCTTTCACTCACCATGCTTCTCTCTACCCTTCTAACCCCTTTCCTCTCCTGTACCCTGCCTTTCTTGACCATTTCTCGCCCCCTCTTCTCCCCTCTTGGGACCAAGGCACGCCAAACTCACCTCCCCTCGCCTCCGCCGAGCCACTCATACTTGCCTCGCCAGGCTTCCCCTCCACTACCTCGCCTTCCGCCCCCTCACCCCTCCCCTCTCCTTCTTTTGATCCTCCCTCTGTTCCCCCTTCCTTTTCCTCTGAACCTATTCCAACCCTACCACCTGACCTCTACCCTACCTGTTCTCCACCTCTTTTCCTCCTGAGCAGACCTCAGGTTCGCCTGAGGAGCCTGGCACGACCATCTCTCCCGCCTCGACGAGGGACAATACGAGAGGGTCGACGGGGATGGGAACAATCGAGACTTGGAGAGAATGAAGGAATTATTTCAGATTATGGGCTTTCAGCATGAAGGCCCTGAAAGACCTGCCCACCGATTCTTTCTCGCAAATGCTCAGAGTCGACTGAAGGTGAGTTTTAAAGGACAAAGGGATCTTCTTAATCTCTTTTCCACAATCTCATACGAAGGCCTCTCTTCAGAAGGTCTCCCTGCCACTATCTCCTCCCTCCCTCTAAGGCGATCTGCTAGATTAGCCTCAATCTCAACTCGTTCTCCAAAACCATGAAGTTTCTCACTTGGAACATTAGAGGCTTGGGACACTCCTCCAAAAGGGAGGTCGTTAAGGACTTGTACTTGAAACATCGTCCCACTATTCTTGCTCTCAATGAAACTAAGCTACCCGAGCCCTCTCTCCACCTCATTCACCAGATCTGAGGTAGGAGGCCATGCCAGTGGGTTGTCCTACCTGCGGAAGGGGCTTCAGGGGGTATATGGGTGATCTGGGACCCCAGTGACCACCTCCTATCCTCCCATCTAGGGGAATTTTCTATTACTGTTTTCTTATCTCGTATCTCTGACGGCTTACAGTGGAAATTCTCGACCATTTAAGGCCCCTACTCTGCTTCCCTTCGTTCTAGCCTCTGGAAAGAACTGGACTTCGTGGCTTCCCTACCCCACCCAATCTGATGCTTGGGTGGAGATTTCAATATTACTCCTTGATCTCATGAGAGAAACTCCAGCTCTAACATCTCTCACAGTATGACGGATTTCTCGGATTTCATCTTTAGAAATGATCTCCTAGACATCCCACAACAAGGAAACCGCTTTACCTAGTCCAATCACTCCCCCCAACCTACTCTCTCTAAACTCAATAGGTTTCTCCTAGCTCTAAATTGGGAGGAACTCTTTCTGGGATCCCATGCCGTGGCCCTGCCTAAACCCACTTCTGACCACTGCCCCATTCTTCATAGCACCCAAGCTATTAGTAGAGGTCTGAAACCTCTTAGATTCAAAATGGCTTGGCTTGAAGAAAAATCTCTACCTAACTTGATTCCCATCTGGTGGAACTCTTTTTCTGCCCAAGTTTCGAGAAGAGCAGGCTAAAAACCCCAAACTAAGACTCAACTCCTCAAAGCCTCCCTTAAGACCTGGAGTCAGTCCATCCCTGGGAATTACTCACAAGTGAAGTCCTCTCTTCTAAATTTCATCCAAGACCTGGACTGTCTTGAGGAGTCCAGAACTCTGACAGCCACTAAATCTAATCTGAGAACCCAAACCAAACTTGAATATTTCTCTACCCTCAAAAGAGAAGAGCTTTACTAGTTCCAGAGATCTAGAGCCAATTGGCTCAAATCAGGGGACTATAACACTCGCTTCTTCCACCGAATAGCAAATTGTCATAGAAGAGACAATACCATTTCAACTATCAAGTTGAATAATAGCTATTATGTGCAGCCTAGAGAAATCAAATTGACTATTTAAATTTTTTCCAGGCCCTTTATGCTGCTCCGAGGAGTGTCAAACCTATAATGGCCGACCTTGACTTCCATACCTTGTAGAAAGACCAGGCTCTATGGCTGGAGCGTCCTTTCCTTGAAGAGGAAATCCTGAAAGCCTTAGATGACCTAGCCAAAGATAAAGCTGCTGGCCTAGATGGGTTCCCCATTGCCCCCTTCAAAATCTTTTGGGAAACCTTTCGCCCAAACTTCATGAGTTTCTTCACGGAATATTTCCACCAGGGGATAGTCCATAAAGCCATTAACGCTACTGTTATTGCCTTGGTCCCCAAGGTTGAAGGGCAGATGAGCTAAAGGACTTTCGCCCAATCAATTTGCTCAACTGCTCCTATAAAATCCTGGCCAAGGTGCTGGCCTCAAGATTACAACAGGTCCTTCCCTCTATTATCTCGTCTTCATAGTCGACCTTCATTAAATATAGGCAAGTCCTAGACGGAACGCTAGTTGACCACGAGTGTATCCACTCAAGGCATTTGGCTAAAAAGCCTGGTCTCATCTTTAAGATCAACTGGGAGAAAGCGTATGACCATGTTGATTAGTCCATACTGGATGAGACAATGGCAAGAATGGGATTCTATGATCGTTAGAGAAAGTGGATAAGAGGTTGTTACTCTCATCCGCATTTCTCGATACACATAAATGGAACCCCAAAAGGATTCTTCCCTTCCTCGAGGGGATTACGCCAAGGGGATCCTCTCTCCCCTTTCCTTTTCGTAATCTCAGCAGAAGTCTTTAGCCGATCCTTATCCCGAGTATACCTGGTAGGTCTCCTCACAGGTTTTAAAACTTCTCACCTAGGCCCTATAGTGTGGCACCTGCAATACGCAGACGACAATTTGGCATTTCTAGATGCATCTCCTCAAGAAATTGATAACTTGAGGCTCTACCTGAAATGTTTCCAAGTGGCCACAGGCTTCAAGGTCAATATGGAAAAATAAAAAATGATGGGTGTAGTTGTCACCAATGCCCAAATCAGAGAGCTTATCCCAAATTGGGATTGCAAAGTCGAGGACCTTCCCACAACCTGTCTGGGTCTACCTCTGGGGCTAGGAATACTGTAAAAGAGATATTGATCCCAAATGATAGACAAGGTTGATAGGCGTTTGGCTGGATGGAAAGGGGGATACCTTTCTCAAGCGAGTAAAATTACTCCGACCAAAGCAACCTTGGTCAATGCCCCTGTGTACCTTATGTCTCTTTTCCAAATGCCAACTTTAATGGCAAATCGGCTTGGCCAACTTATAAGGAACTTTCTATGTTCAGGACAGGCAGAGAAAACAAAATATCATTTAATCTCTTGGGTTAAGGTCTGCTTACATAAATATCAGGGGGGGCTGGAGATCAGGCTCCTAAGAAAACACAACTTGGCCCTTTTAGGGAAATGGTGGTGGCGCCTGGCCACTCAGACGGATTCCCTCTGGGCTCAGGTACTACACAGTAAATACAAGATTCTTGACCGCACTTGGGTGCCAGAGAGGAGACCTTGGAGCAATGCATCAGGAGTATGGAAGTCGTTCACCTCCTCCCTCGCAATGTTCAAAAAAGTCATCAAGCTTCATCCAAGAGATGGAAAGAGAGTGCGCTTCTGGTCAGATCTCTTGCTTGGACACGCGCCACTAAGGGACCTCTTTCCATCGCTTTACGCCATCGCAGCCCATAGAGATTCTACTATAGAGGAGGAAATGGTGCCGGAGGGAGGTCGAAGAGTGTGGAACCCCTCATTTAGAAGAAACTTCTCCGAGGAGGGAGCAAACCACTTTCTCTCCTTGTCGCCAGCTTTGCACCTTTCTTTCATCCCTACACAAGGGAGGGACCAGCTGATATCGTCTCTTGCCCCTACAGGGGTCTTCTCAGTGGCCTCTTTTTACAAGAAACTCATCCAACCTCCGACCTTCCCCCTAAACCCTCCTTCGGCTCTTTCTAAGGTTTGGCATACTATAGCACCCCCTAAAGTGCACCTCCAAGAGAAAAGGGATTCCCATCCCCAACATATGCATCATGTGTTTGTGTGAGGAGGAATCCAATCCCCACCTATTCATCCATTGTAATCTTGCCCACGACCTCTAGAGTCTACTGCTACAACTATTCGGTGTCCAATGGGTAACACCAATGACGGTCAAGGACCTAATAGCTTTGGATTATGCATTTCAATGGCCGAAGGCTAGAAGAACCCTATGGAAGGCTGCAGTGGCAGCAACCATTTGGGTGATCTTGACAAAAAGAAATGCCTGAATTTCCAAGGACAGGTTAGCCAAGTTCCAACAATCTTTCATAAGGTTACATCCTTAGTAACCTTCTGGGCTTCTAACCAACAACTCTTCATGGGTATCTCTGTGAATTCTTTCCTAAGTCAATGGGATAATATAATATTCCACCGACCACTGAAGGAGTAAAGATCAAGCAACTGGAAGCCACCCCCTGACGGAGCCACTAAACTTAACTTCGATGGGTGTTCTTTGGGGAACCCCGGCCATGCGGGAGCTGGTGGTGTCTTTAGAGATCACCAACACAATATCCTTTTTACCAACTCCGAATATCTTGGATTTCAAGATTCCCAGTATGCCAAATCAATGGCCCTTGTGAGGGGCCCAAAATGTTTCGATCAATCTTGGGGGCAAAACCTAATAGTGGAGGGTGATGTGTATAACATCATAACATGGGCAACCGGCAGATCTACACCTTCATGGTATCTTGCTTCGATTTTTTATGAGATTACATACATCTACAGGCATATGGCCATCTTATGGATGCATACCTCGAGGACGTCAAACGAGTTCGTCGATCTCCTAGCGAAGGACGGGGCTAAGGCCCATGAAGAAGATCAAACCTGGTCCATCTCCTTTTTTGCTCTGGACCACAGAGGATACACTTAGAAGAATATCTCATTGTATACGGGCAACCTTATAAGCCCATTTTTTGTAAACTCATTGTAAACCTATTGTATGGGGGCAACCTTATAAACCCATTTTTTGCAAAGGGTCTGTTGACCTATTTTTTACCGAGAGTCCCGTCTAGAGGGTACTCTTGGATTAACCCAAAATTGTACTCCACTCTTATAGTAATACAAAAGTTAACGTTTATCAAAAAAAACCAGGCACCAAGTTTATTTAACCAATTTGATCAAAACTTTAGGTATTAAGGGTAGCACTGTTGCCAGAGAGCCACACTTGGCATTTGGGTATATACATGGTGAACTACATCGAGATGAAACATTGAAGAAACAAGATCTTTATATTATAGGATTCGATTTTGTGGGCAGGAACTGTTGTAGTAAGATATATCATAACAATCCAGCTCATAAATAGCAACAAAAGGTAGTCATTTTGGAATATAAACTGTCACTTAAAATGCCTTCTTATCAAGCATGAACCATGCTAATATAAGACAACCACCGCTCACACTAATAAACTAGCCTTAGACTATGAATAGCTTTCAAACGTATGTATTTGATTACTGCAGATTTGCATCTGATCTCACCAATTGTGACATAGACAAGGTCACCCAGGACAGTCTCTGAGATCTCCATCCACAATATAACTTTACTTGTTTTTTCCTCTTAAGTACACACCCATTCTTCCATTCTTCACATGCCCCATTCATTTTCGTTGCAGAGCACCAGTCAAGTTGCTTGCCAAGGAGAACCATTTGTCAATTAACCTCTCAAAGATAGCAAATAGGACCTTACCATCACATCCTAGGTGCTAGTTTTCAGGCTCACATGATGTTTATCACCAAGCAATATACTCATGCTTCTAGTTCAAATGAAGAGAACATCATGTGTAGGAAGGATTTCCCTATAATATGAAACCATTGCTCTATTCGACAGGATTTTTGTATTTTATTTTTTTGGTTTAAGACCATGCATTAATGATCCTAAAACAGAGTGGCAAGAAGGCCTATTTTTATTAAGTTCCCAACTTCCCATGCAGCTCTTGGCTCTGTGACCCATGCTTTTCCAAATTCTTCTACAAAGAGAATCAACATCAAAAAAAAAGAAAGAGGTGGAATTTCTGCACCAAGCCATCAGGAAAGATATGACCTAATATTCTGCAGAACCGTTCACCATAAATGGGATCATTCATCAAGAACTCGTTCTTGCACCTCAGCTAAAGGGAAGAGGTTGAATTGCCACATCCTAGAAACAAAATACATCCCTTGTTGATCACTAGTGAACTTTCTTATATGTGAAATGTTTGAATCTCTAATCAAAACGCATGTGTTGTATGCAGTTCACATCATTATTTCATTAGGAAAAGCAAATGAATGTGGAAGGCATGAACAGAGCTTGTTTCCTATGTTAGTTCTAATGAACAGTGATTCAGGAGAAAAATCCACAGATATCCAAATCTATTTATACTTGAGATTTGCATTTTTATTTGCAGAAACTATAATTAAAGATTGTAAATGCAATAACTTGTAACTGAATGATTAAGTGCTAAAACGTTCCCAAAAAATTTGATTAATAACCCAGAATGAAACTCCATACTATCGATTTGATTTCCTTTTGTCATTTGCCCCACTAAACAAAAATCGACCCCAGAAAGTGGGCAAAATTTCAGTTGACTGTTTCACCTACATTTAACACCAGAATGCACAGATTTTATACAACTCAGAACACCATTCTGGATACAACATCAAAACCACTTCTACTTCACAAACAAGCCACCATTAAAACGAACTCTCCCATGAATCAATTCAAAACTCCAGGTAAAAGAATTGCAAAATAACTTGTCCAGATGCAAGAAAAGGCTCATAGAATGATTATATCAGCGAAATGATAAATTCTCGAACACATCATTTCGTACTGATGGTGTAAATTTAACCAATTTCAGTAGTGTTCGAACCCCACCCAATAAGAGTGAGAATGATCAACTTTCTAAGACACGTCCTGAGTCATAGGAAAATACCCAATTCTCAAACCTTGACACAGAATGTAAAAGACAAGGAAACGAACCTGGAGGAGGAGAGAATCTCAAATGGGTGGCCCCAGAAAGGGGCTTAGAAGAGGAGGAGGCAGAGGAGATGGGTTCACCCAAGAAAGAGGAACAGGTAAGTGTAGTAGAAGAGGCCATTGGAGCAAGGCCCGAGCTTCTGTCCTTGCAAACTCTCGAGTTCACGAAGCCCGTTTAAAGGTTGGCCGTTGTCGTGCTCAAACTGAGGATTAGAACCCAGAGATAAACAAATATCTGTGGGAGCACACATGGCAACTCCAATTAAAACAAGATTTTTTTAAAAATAAATGTCTGATTTTTTTTAAATTGTCAAGAATTTCGAGTTTTTCAAGAGATCTTTAAAAATTCTTGTTCTTTTAATGGAACCAATATACATAACAATCCTAAAATTTCAAAAGAAAAAAAAAAAAAGAGAAAATATGCTGATAAATAGGTGATGTTTTGTTTGAGTATGATGGTCTTTGGGGACCATCACTATTTTCAAAAACTTTTACTTCGTTTAACTTTTGCTGGCCCGTTTTGCTTGCCTGCTTTTGCCTCCTGCTGTTTGCAGCTTTTGCCTCCTGCTGTTTGCAGCTGGCAACGTCCTTTAGCGGACGTGGTTTTCGTACGATAAAAGTCTGCTTTTAACGCGACACCTCAGGTATGAGGTAGAGCATAAGAAAATAATATAATAATACGTTATAAGAATTTAAATAGGGGAAAATAATATAAAAATACGTTATAAGAATTTAAATAGGGGATGTGAGCACTCCCACCCTAAAACAAAATTTTGAGATCTCTCTCTCTGGTCGAAACACAGTGAACTTCTCTCTCGAACCGAAATTTTTATCGGAAGCTCCCTCTCAAATAATTGTGGGTAAGTGATATCGTCTTCCTGAAAAATAGTCTATTTTTAATAAAT